ATCCTTTATACAAGATTGTTAACAAAGAAAAATGGGAGTGGAATTTGGAACACTCCAAAAGTTTTGATGATCTAAAGACATTGATTAGTCTTCCTCCAGCTTTGACGTACTTTAATCCTGAACTACCTATCGGAATTGCGACTGATGCATCTAAAAGAGGTTTAGGAGCTGTTTTGTTTCACACTGAAAAAGATGGCAAAGAAAAACCGATAGCTTTTGCATCAAGAACTTTAGCAAAATCCGAAACAAACTATACCAATATTGAGCGTGAAGCTCTGGCCATTATGTTTGCTATCAAGAGATTTCAAGAATACTTGATAGGGACTAAGTTCACTATTGTAACGGATCACAAGCCGCTAATCCATATTTTCACCAAAGGGCTCAAAGATAATAGCACCATGTCATTAAGGTTACAGAAGTGGAGTATAATTTTGGGGGGTTACGACTTTAACATCAGATATAAAGCTGGTAAATACAATGTTGTTCCCGATTGCCTCTCAAGACTACCACAAGTAATTGATGATGACGTTATTGATGATATCGCGATTATAAATGACTTTGGCGATATACCTCTTAGTTTTGACCGAATACGTGATGAAACGTCCAAAGATTTTGAATTATCTCAAGTTATGAGTGACATAAGAAATAATGTGCCTATCCAAAATAAAATTTATGAAAATATTGAATACGAACTAAGTATCATTAAAGATTGTCTGTACAAAAGCGACAAAATAATAATTCCGTCAAGTCTGAGAAAGAACATACTGAAGGCGTTACACGAAGGTCATTTGGGAGCAGGTAAAATTAAATCCTTAGCCAAAGATCGTATGTGGTGGTCTGGTATGGTCAACGACATTGATTTGGAAGTCAAAAGTTGCGATGATTGTAATATTTATCATGACAATCCAAAGAAAATACAAAATCCATGGGTAGCAGCAACTAAACCATTTGAAAGGATACACATAGATTATGCGGGTCCGTTTTTTACAAAGAATTGGTTGATAATCGTTGATGCTTACAGTAAATTTCCGGTTATAGTTCCGGTAAAGAGTATTACGACTGAATTCACGTTAAAGGAAATTTATAAAACTATTTCACTATTTGGTATATCTGAAACCATTGTTACAGATAATGGTACCAATTTCACGAGCAAAGATTTTGAAAAATTTTGCAGCAATTATGGTATAAAACATGTACTAACGTCGGCCTACCATCAGCAATCTAATGGACAAGCTGAACGTATGGTGAGAACATTTAAAGCTCATATGAAAAGAAACATAAAGATTGACTTAGAAACTGCGCTGGACAGATTTTTGTTCAACTATAGAAACACGCCGAATGACACTACGGGAGTTACACCGTCCAAGAGAATGTTTAACCGCGACATTAGAATAAAGTGGGATTTATTAAAACCTTTGGAGGATAAAGTTGGTGAAGTCTTCATGTCGTTACCACGAAATCGAACTTTTAATAGAGGAGACTATGTTTGGTATAAGAAACAGGGTGATGATACGTGGTGCAAAGGCAGCATCAAGCTTAAAGAGAGTAACACCATGTTTCAAGTTTATAATGATAAAGGGATAGTAAGTAGGCATCTTGATCAGTTAAGGAAAAGAGAATGTTACAACAGTTTAAAATTTTATGAAATTGACCCTAAAAATTCCTCTAAGGGGGGAAGTGTGGACACGAAGAATGAGATTAAGATACCAATTACTAGACCAATAAGAATTAAAAATAAACCTGATTACTTAAAAGATTACGTGCTCAAAATTTAAAGATTACGTGCTCAAAATTTAAAAAATTAAACGCTTATAAAAAATGTAAAACGCAAAAAATATAAAAACGCTAAAAATATAAAACGCTAAAAATATAAAACGCATAAAACGCTAAAAATATAAAACGCTATGATTAATAAAAAATAATATAATAATCATTATGATTTATCATTCCTTATTTTATTCCTTATTCCATAATTTATCATTCCTTATTACATATTTTATTGTTCCGAAATTCAAAATTTTATTCGTGCATATTATTCATATATTTGATTTGATCAACTATTCCAAATTACATATTCCGATTTATTCCAAATTCCAATATTCGACTGGATTAATTATGAAACATGATAATAACAATTTTGAGAAATGTGAACAACATACGATAAGGATATCAAGCCTACAAAAAACGTACAAACTCACGCAACTCTAATAAACGATTTTATCAAACCTACGTGATAGAATCAAGCCTACGAGAACATTTGAGACTTATGCGCTAGCCAAGATAAAACCGAGTACAATCGAAACGGGAAAAAACTTCTGGGACAACAAGCTCTCGATGACTGCTGAGAAGAAGCTTAGTTCTTTGTAGAAGAGGGGGAATGTTGATTGATCATATATAAATTTAAAGAATTAATCTTAAATTTGAATAGTTAATCTTATATTATAAATTGATGTGTTTGATATAATTTAACTATTCACAAAAACGTGATATTATATATTTTTCAATTAACTTTTTTATATATATATACTATGTTTTTAGATATAGTAAATAAAAAAAATAAAATATTTTAAAAAATAATTAATTTGAATAGCTTACTTCAGTATTAAAGATACTTTTTTCTTACTTTACTTATATAAAACACTTTAATGAGAATAAAAGAGAATTAAGGATTTTAAGGCAATCTAGAAATAAAATGAATCAATAAAATTGATATTCACAACTTTCATTTATTGTTTGCATTTTTTATTTATTTTAGATCAAAACAGTCTCAATGGCATTGCATAGAAGTAATCTTAGTTGGTTTTTCTATACGTATCCATCATAACGTTTCTCTAAGTTTGATAGGAATTAGGATAAATTAAGTATAGCTCTGTTGATTCATATTGAAAAAAAAATTAAAATAAGATATATTTAATAAGTATTTTTTACTGAAATACAATAAAGAAATATAAAATCTATTCAAATGTAAATGCTTATCTGTAATCGGCCACACGCTACCAACAATACACAACATTGATGTAGATATAATATTTATAAAATAAGAATATATATATGATTATATTGGGTGCCGGTTATTTAAAATTGGGTTCTAATCCAATTTTAAAAATTATTGCTAACTATGAGTAAGGGGTTGTCTAGGACCTATATGCATCAACCTAAGGACGACCCCGCGGCACTCTATAATATGTTCGTAACAGGCGCGTAACCAATGGGGGGAAAGGGGGGAAATTCCCCCCATCGCAAATTTGACTATTTTCATAAATATCATTTTAAGCTAATAAAAATTTTACCCCTACCCCCAGACCCCCCCCCCCCCCCCCCCACTCCACTAATCAAAATTTTACAAATATTTGAATATCAATTTTCTAACATATTATTCAAAAATATTTAGTCAAAAGAGATTGAAATCAAACGATAATTTATAAATAAGGTTGAGCATGAAAAAAAAAGTAATGTGTCGTTAGCAGCGATATCATTATTGAATTCAATTGATCAATCAGAGTTTATCATTGCTGCTAGTTGCATCAATAAATTATTTTTCCTATAGCTCACTACTTTGTAGAAATTTACAAAAACCAAATTTAGATTTGGTTCAGGTTATTGATTTGGCGGAAAATATACATGAACAGGTAGATACAATAAGAATGAATGTAGACGTTGAATCGAAGGCTAAATTTTATGATATAATACTAATTACACCTCGTTTAGCACCTAGGCCATTATTGAGATGAAAATAAATATTGGCTCAACTGAAGAATATTATAAAATATCCATTTTCATCCCATTCTTAGATACTATCGCAAATAAAAGTACGGGTTTTAGATAAAAAACAAGTCTTTAGCAATCTTCAAGTTTTATTACCCAAAACTCCTTCTTCATTTTCTAATGCCACTATTGGTAAAATTAAATATTTAGAAAAATTTTATTCCTATGAGATTGATACTGAAATAAATTTAATCAGTGAATTCGAATTGTGGTATAAATATTTATACGTTTAGCTATTTTACCTGAGCATGCTATTGATGCGCTCAATCGGTGTAAAGAAATCTTGGCTCAATTTCCTAATATTTCGAAGTTGTTTTATATTCTTGCATGTTTGCCTATTACAACATGTACGAATGAAAGGACTTTTTCCAACTTGAGAGGGTTGAAAACATAATTACGAAGTACTGAATCTCGGCTAAATGGGTTAGCTCTGTTAAATATACACAGAGATTTGGTTCCAACGACAAACGAAATAATTAAAAATCTTGTATTTGATAAGAAGTTAAAAAACTTGTTAATTTAATTATTTTCTAGTCAATATTTTAAACTACTATTAGTATTTTCAATAAAAAAATTATATTCTACTTATATTGTATGAGAATTTAAGCTGAGGCTAGTTTTTAAAGCAAATTTTATAAAAAAAATGACATTACACTTTATTTCAACTTAACATTTAAAAAAACTTTTATTAAATATAATATACCTATCTTGAAATAATAAAAAAAGAGGCTTATAATATCCTATCCATAAGCACGAATTAGTAAATAATAGTTAAAAATAGAAATATAATTAAATTATGAATAATTTAATAGAATAGCTAAATAAGACCCGGCCGAAGGCCGGAAAAACTGGCCGAAGGCCAGTTTGTGGGCGAAGCCCCCAAAAATTCCCCCCCCCCTATAAGAAAATCCTGGATACGCCACTGGTTCGTAAATCTCTGGACAGCATAGAATAGTTCTACCCATCCTTCCCACACTGTTTATTAAGATACTGCTCCATCCTGGCAAAGTTTATCAAAGAATAATGAATCATTGTTTCGAAATATTTAGTTGCTTTTTATCCAAGTATCTGATAATCAAAATATACTAATTTTTTTCAGTGATAATTTATAAATATATCACATAATAAAGAAAACGTTAAATACTTTCTCTTATTATTTATCTTTTATGTTATCTGCCACCATCTTAATTCGGCCCTATAGCTATACAAAATATTCATTATTATGACTTCCCTTTTTTTCTATTTTTCTATGTTATCGTTATGTAACATCTATTCTTTTACCAGTTGGGCCAAAAATTTTGGAATGGCTTGGAGATCATATGGATCTAACAATACGGAGTTTATAAATTCATTATGGGGTAATATTTTAAATAACTAAATTTTATTCTGTAAAATTTTTTATTTTATTTTAAAGAACATGGGGTTATTAAAAGTGAAAGAATTAAAGAAATTATGCTACAAATTGATAGAAAAGATTTCATAAAAAATTCTCCTTATGTAGATTCACCACAATCGATTAGTTATGGGGTTACAATAAGTGCTCCACATATGGTGACATTTTATTATGTATATAATGCATATTGTATTATTTAGCATGCAGCTGCTTTAGAATTATTAAAGGATCATCTTAAACCTGGTGATAAAGCATTGGATATAGGATCTGGAAGTGGTTACTTAACAGCCTGTATGGGTATGATGGTAAATTTAATCTTCTTAGTGATATATATTTTTATATCAATTAAGGTATCTCCGAATGGAAAAGCTGTAGGAGTTGAGCACATTCCTGAATTGGTAGAAAGCTCACTTGAAAACATTAAAAAACATCATGCTCATTTGTTGAGTAAAGACTTAGTTAAAATTATAGGTTATACTATACCAAATTTTTTTGAAGATTTTGGTTAACCAACCATTTAATTTATAATAAAAATTTTTTTTTTACAGAGGGTGATGGAAGATTAGGATATAAAGCTTTATCACCTTACAATGCAATTCATGTGGGAGCAGCTAGTCCTGATAAACCAAAATCTGTAATTATATGTTATATTTATAATTAAATGTAATTAGAGGTCACTCCCAACTGGTCTGTGTAACTTTTTGAAAAGTTTGGCCTGGCCCAGCATGCAACTGATAATTTTAGATATAAGGAGATCATTTTCTTATATTTTTATCATTTAATATTCAAAATTATTAATTAAATATCTATATCATATATTAAATTATTTTAACTACTTCTATTTTTTTAATCCAAGTTGGCATTTTTCCCACAATGCCCCAAGAAAACTTCAATTTTTGAGGCAGGGCAGGCAAATAAATAAGAAATATATATAATTTTTTTATCATATAAAATATGACTTTTCTATTATCATATTCATATATGATATTTAATTGAATTTATTTCTTAAGGATTATCATTTAGATATTGCTATTTTATTTGTGGAGTTTTTTTATTAAAAAAATAATTATTGCAGAGTTAAAGTCAATTTTGATTTATTTACATCTTAATGCATTATTTTATCATTCAAATTCAATTTTTAAAATTATAATTGAAAAGAATCAATGGATTTGCAATAGTATCCATGTATAAAACAAAAATTTGAGATAATAAAGCTATATGCAAATGATTCAAATTAAGGGAATATTTTTGGGATGATATGAATAACAAAAGAATGATAAAATACTCAGAGACCACTTAGAGAGTTATTTTCATAAGCAAATATAATAAAGGTTAGGTAAAATTTCAATAAATCAAAATCCAAGGGAAGAGCTTATCAAATAATTTTGTTATTTAGGACAATCGTTAATAAAGTTATTAATGCTGCTGTAGGTAAAATTAGGAATTTAATATTAATATAATTGGGATATGGAATCATGTGGGATTCGGAATCCCAATGTGGGGATTCAAGATCTTGAATACATTTTATTCGGGATCTCAAATCCCCATGAAAAAAAAAATCAATTACTTTTTCTTCTCTCTTTTTGTGGCTGGCACCACATATAATTAAAAGGCCAAAATAAGGGATTTAAAAAGAGAATTTAAAAAAAAGTAAATAATATAAAATTAAGGCATACAATGAATGAAAAGGGATGAGGTTAAGACTTTTTTTGTTTTAAAAAATATTAAAAAATATATTTATAAAAAATCCGAATTATTGCAACAATAATCGTTGAACATTTAAACAGGGACATATGAATTATATATAAAAAAAATATATAAGATTCAAAATTTCTCATTTTTAAATATATTATTTGAACTTAGCCCTTTCTATAGAAACTTGTGTTGCAGGAACGGCCAGTGCTATAAGAAAACATTTATATAATTCTGGATATTTAAATTATTTCTCTAAAATATAAAAACTTGAACCGGTTTAATAACAAAAATAAATTTTTAAAAAAAAATATTTAAAGGGATTCGGAATCTTTTTTTTTTAAAAAACAATTAAATTATATTTTTTTTGCCGCACTGGCTGGCATCCATAAAATTTTATTTTTTAGAGATATTTAATATGTATTACTTTTATGCTTTAAAAATATTTTTTGTTTTCAAAAAAATTTTTTTTTTTTTTTTTAAAAAAAGAGCTAAATTAAATTAGAAAATATGTATTTTAATTATAAAATCGCAAATTTATATTTATAAAAAAAATTGTTCACGCTTGATCACGCCCGGGAAAAATTTTGGGAAGGCCCGTCACGTCTAATAATTTAAAATTTATTCACACTCACGCCGTTACCCACCGTTACACGATGACCTCTAATCATCATTATTTAATTGTTTAGATAAAAAATTTTCATTGATAAAATGGTTTATTAAGAAATGGATCTTTCATGGTATTAAGAAGTCTTGGCAGTATATCAGGTAGTAAGAATTTATCATCTCTTATATTATGCCATGTGCAATTGTTAAATAAGCATTTGTAATAATTTTGGTTAATATTTTTAGGCGTATTTTGAAATTGGTTAAAATAATTTTATGACAAAACCTAATTCGCTAAACATCGACCAAAATTTATTAAAATGTAATAAGACCCCCCCATCTATTATTAAATTTAATATGTATACGGAATCACAGGTCGAGTCCTATATCATAAACCAGCAATCACTTGGTTATGGAAGTAAAACAATAAAAGAATTAAATAATTTTTTTTAAGTACCCCCATTCAAATTTTTAGAAGCAGTTGCTTCGGACCCTCACCGTTGTAGGGGCTACTGGTCCCCTGGTAGGGTTCAATCGTTCCCAAAAAAATTCCTGAAAAAATAACATTTTGAAAAATGTATTAAATATATATCTTTGAAATTTATAACTACTATATATATGCCTTAATTTTATACTATTTACTTTTTTTAAAATTCTATTTTTTAAATCCCATATTTTGGCCTTTTAATTATATGGTGCCAGCCGCGAAAAAAAAGAGAAGAAAAAGTTATTAAATTTTTTTTTTCATGCTCTTTTAACCCACGTCTTCAACATATGCCTGAAGCATGGTAGGATCCCTGACTCTTGGAAGCAGTCCGTGTCCGTTCTCATACACAAAAAGGGTGATCAAGCAGATATCCACAATTGGAGACCAATCTCGTTGAACAGTATGCATATACAAATTGTACACCGGTTTTCTAGCTAGGCGGACCCACGTGGACGAGAACGGGCTCATTTCCAGAGGGCAGAAAGGGTTCATGCCATATGATGGGGTCTTCGAGCATAACTTCGTGCTCCAAAACAGTATATTGGAGGCAAGAAGATCGAAGAAAGAATTGTGCATGGCTTGGTTAGATTTAGCAAGTGCATTCAACTCTATTCCTCACCATGCGATGCTAGCTGGGCTCAGAGCTATTGGGGCTAACAGCAGTGTAGTTGATATTGTAAAGGACTTATTTATACAATGGGACAGGAACGCGTTTCATCCTCAATGATGGACTTACGGATGAAATATTATTCCGTTCGGGAGTTAAGCAAGGATGTCCCCTATCAGGTATATTGTTCAATATCGCTAAAGATCCGTTGCTGCGAAAACAAGAGAGTGACCCAATAGACTCAACCACTCTTGCGTATGCAGACGATATCGTGTTGTTGACCGGCTGCGCCAATGATCTGCAGCGGAGACTCGATATCGTGGCGTCTGACTGTGAAAGGATTAGACTAGCTTTAAATCCTGGAAAATGCGCGGTGATGCATTTTAGTGGGCAAGCTCCAGTCGGGGTCCGCGAAAGCATGTTCAAAATCAATGGCGGACGCCTCAGATGCCTGAAAGAGGGTGAGTCAGAAGTCTTTCTGGGCAGGCCAACAGGGTTCCTATGTGACAAATATGATGATAATAACAGAACCCTGGAGGTCATCCAGAAAATCAACGGATCTAAGTTAGCCTCATTCAAAAAGCTCGACGCAATCAAAACGTTCGTGTTTCTTACCTTGAGTTTTACGATGCGTTGTGACCTCTTTGCGGAGGAAGTCTGTGATAAGATAGACAAAGAAATTCGCTCAGTGATCAAGTCTATACTCTCTCTCCCTCGATCGGCTGTGAACAACTACATATACGGGTCATGTAAGTTAGGTGCTATAGGAATCCCGTTATTAGCCGAGGATAGCGACATTTACCGTATAGACAATGCCTATAAGCTACTAACCTCAAAAGACCCCCTGATCAGAGAGTTGGCTATGACGGAGCTTGGGAACATGGTGGCTAGTCGAACTGGCACCTGGTAGATGCATCATCGATAGACATCGCTGACTACCTATCGGGAGTAAATGATGAGCGGTTCAAAAACTTAGCAAACTCCTATAGGAACATATGGACAAGGGCTCGCCAGGCATCGTCGAGACTTACCGTGACGTGGGAAATGATTGGGGAAGTATTCATGCTTATCAAGGACGATGTTGCGTTGGAACCTCTCTGTCGCAGGTTGGTGGTTAAGCGATTGAGGGAGGTGAGGAGGTCACAAAGGGACCGGGATCTTCGGGAGCTCAGGAACCAGGGCAAGGTAATGGAGTGTGTTGGTCAACACCCGGCGAGTCATTTCTTCCTTACTAGCGGACAATACATATCATCCCACGTATGGAGATTTATTCACCGGGCGAGACTCAACAAGTTACCCTTGAATGCAAGACCGGGCAACACGAGAGATCAAAGATGTAGGAGGTGCGGGATATCAAACGAAACACTTCCCCACGTCCTAAATCATTGAATGCGTCACTCGCGTTGGATGGTTGAACGGCATGATGCCGTCGTCAAGCGCTTAAAAACAGCCGTGTGTTGACCAACACACTCCATTACCTTGCCCTGGTTCCTGAGCTCCCGAAGATCCCGGTCCCTTTGTGACCTCCTCACCTCCCTCAATCGCTTAACCACCAACCTGCGACAGAGAGGTTCCAACGCAACATCGTCCTTGATAAGCATGAATACTTCCCCAATCATTTCCCACGTCACGGTAAGTCTCGACGATGCCTGGCGAGCCCTTGTCCATATGTTCCTATAGGAGTTTGCTAAGTTTTTGAACCGCTCATCATTTACTCCCGATAGGTAGTCAGCGATGTCTATCGATGATGCATCTACCAGGTGCCAGTTCGATTAGCCACCATGTTCCCAAGCTCCGTCATAGCCAACTCTCTGATCAGGGGGTCTTTTGAGGTTAGTAGCTTATAGGCATTGTCTATACGGTAAATGTCGCTATCCTCGGCTAATAACGGGATTCCTATAGCACCTAACTTACATGACCCGTATATGTAGTTGTTCACAGCCGATCGAGGGAGAGAGTATAGACTTGATCACTGAGCGAATTTCTTTGTCTATCTTATCACAGACTTCCTCCGCAAAGAGGTCACAACGCATCGTAAAACTCAAGGTAAGAAACACGAACGTTTTGATTGCGTCGAGCTTTTTCCATGAGGCTAACTTAGATCCGTTGATTTTCTGGATGACCTCCAGGGTTCTGTTATTATCATTATATTTGTCACATAGGAACCCTGTTGGCCTGTTCAGAAAGACTTCTGACTCACCCTCTTTCAGGCATCTGAGGCGTCCGCCATTGATTTTGAACATGCTTTCGCGGACCCCGACTGGAGCTTGCCCACTAAAATGCATCATCGCGCATTTTCCAGGATTTATAAAACAAAAATTTGAGATAATAAAGCTATATGCAAATAATTCAAATTATTGTAATTTTCTTGGGATCATATGAATAGCAAAAGAATAATAAAATACTCAAGGACCACTTAAAGAGCTATTTTCATAATCAAATATAGTAAATGTTAGCTAAAACTTTGATAAATCAAAATCCAAGGGAAGAGTTTATCAAATAATTTTGTTATCTAGGACAATCGTAAATTAGGAATTTAATATTAATATATATATAAAAAGAGAGAGATAGCAGACAAATATATATTGCACAAGGCAGCAGCTGATTTGATGAATCAAATTAAAGAATGGAGGATTTATCCTTCTAAACAATATATCCGGCCAAATATGCGATGGAGCTAAAAAAAATTGGTGAAACATGGTGGTTGGGTTGGTCACGTGAAAAAGCCCTTAGATGGTTATACAGCGAAGAGAACTTACTCCCAACCTCTAAAAGTGCGATACACTAGATAATTACTAATAAATCCTTCGAAGTAAAAATCTCACTTGTACCAAATCCATAATTGAGAATCTATGCAAATAGTTCTAATATTTTTGTGAAATTTTCATAATAATCAAATTTAAAATTTTAATATTTTATCTTCCAACTTGTAAAATGATCGAAGATGCCAAGCGTTCTGTATCTTTTATAACCTTAAATATTCTTTTCAAAATAGTTTACATAAAAAAAAATGGCAGCAAATTTTAATGGAAAGATTACCTATTTTAAAGCTACCAGATTTTGGGTTTAAAATTAAATTTCTAAAAAAATTCTACGTGAGCAATTAATATGATTTTATAATGTGAAATGGTATATTATTTTATATGCGCCATTGCAATATATATGTTTTTGAATATGCAAAGAGTATGATTTTACGTGAGGAATATTTAAAATAAAATATGTGGATTATCATGTCATGATAGTCTTAATTGTCGTGATCTCTTGACCTTATTAAAAATGTAATAGCTAACAATATTATTGTTTAGCTCTTCGTTTTAGACATGTATCCAAAAATATAAGAAATAATTTAAATATTATAAATATTTAATATTAAATAAATTGATATTTTTAGACATTCTTTACAAATTTGTATCTTGGTTCGGTCTAGAAATAGTTTAATGGGTCCAGCCCAGCCGTAAAATCTTTTTGCTGGACAACACTGACCTCTACTTATATAATTTACCTCAATGATACAACTTTTTATTACTTAAAAGATAATTTAGGCATATAACAATCTTATTTAATCTAATTTGCATCCCTTATATAGTTATTAGATCAATTAGCCAAGGGAGGTAGGTTAATATGCCCCGTGGGATCAATCTCTTTTGGGCAAGATTTGATGCAGTACGATAAAGGAATGGATGGTGAAATTAAAGAAGCCATTCTGATGGGAGTCTTATATGTCCCACTGACGGACAAGGAAAAACAGCACAACAGGAGTGAAAGACATTCTTTGCATTTCAAGTTTTAATTCTTTTTTTTTTAATATTGGAAATTTGTAACTAATTTTTTATTTTAATATTACGTTTTTTTATGATTCCATTACTAAATATTATTTTATATTTTATTTTATCACAGTGAGAAAGATTTATGAACATAGTAAGTTCTTTTATTTTTAATTTATTTTTTACAAAATGCACTGATATCCAAGGCTTACTTTAATATTGCCTGAAATAACGACAATTTAATACTATTTAAAAAATATTTTTTATATGTGAAAAAACGACGGAACCAAATAGGGCTGTGCCTATCCACATATTTTTTACCGATCCGATATTTTCCGACATTGCCTCAAAACCGATCCGATATTTTCCGACATTGCCTCAAAACCGATCCGATATTTTCCGACATTGCCTCAAAACCGATCCGATATTTTCCGACATTGCCTCAAAACCGATCCGATATTTATACTGATTTTTCACCCTTCCCTCCCCCCCCCCCCTTTAACTATTTATATCAATATTTTTTATGCAAAAAATCGAATTATGCATTTAATTTAATTTTTTTTTATTTTTTACAATTAAGACTATAATTAAAAAAATGTATATTGAAATAATATATCCATTTTATGTTGGTATGAATTATAAAATTGTAATATATAATATTTAAAATTATAATATATTAGATTTTTTTAAAATAAATATGAGGGCCTCTAGATTTTGTGGCAATAAGCTTCTACGATATGGACTATCTATAGCCCCTGCCGTACTGAAGGCAGACTCAGATGATTCCGCAGATAACGCATTTTGCAAAATTATCTTTGTCTTTTGTAAAATATTTTCCATAATTCAGATACCATATTTAAAAAAAAAATTATTCTATTTAAAGTATAAATAATAAAAATGGCGTTATTATTTAAAAAAGATTTAAAATAAATAAAACTTTGGGTGTTCCTTTCTATTTTTATAAAAAAAAACCTTTTAAAAATACTATAAATCTATTTAAAAAAAGAAATAAAATTGTGCATTTGCATTGCATTGTTTTTTTAAAAAAGATCGGATCGGTTTTTAACAGGTGTCTGCCCGATCCGATATTTCCGGAACACGCCAAATATCGGTGCCGATCCGATATTTAATATCGGCGCAGCCCTACTTTTTTTTGTTTATTTTTATCGGACCTGCAGAGGTATCATTTGTAGGGCCCTAGTTTTATATTTTGAGGCCCGGCCCGAGTTTTTTAAAAATTTTTATAGCTAATAATTGCGAAATATTGAGGTTTTAAAATATATGGCTCGGTTCACGGGTATATTTAAAAAAAATTAAAATATAGCTCGACCCGGCCATGTACCCTGGCCATGCACCCGGGCCGGGACTGCGAGTCTTTGATTTTTATTATTTTCCTTTCACTCAAAATATTCATTGCGAAGATGGGGCTTATTTGAAGCAAAAGAAATGAATCCTTAAAATACTAAATAAAAGGTAGGAAGTTTCACTCCGATACTTTAAACAAATTTTGGATATATAATTTAAGCCACGTTTCTAGTTCAGATAATTTGGCCGTTTTAAAAAATGGACTCTAATGAGCGATTTTGCATATTTTTTTTTTGAATAGCGAGTAAACGCGTTTATTTTTTGGCACAAGGTAAAACTAGTAAATGTAACGCGTTCCGTTTTTTTTTCTTCAAAAGTAACGAGGGACGCGTTTCTATTTCGAAGAAGTAGCGTTTACAAGCACTATTAAATATCAATTATTTTTTTTGCAACAATGAATGGTTGTAGTATCGGCTGATGGTATGGGTAAAAGTAAAATTTTAATGCTTTTGGCCTTGTTATTATCAGGGCACCCCAGCCCGTCTTGTGTTTATTGTATAACTTACGGCTGTTTATAAGATTTTTTTATCAGAGATGCGCTGGTAACCAATCCGATACTAAAGAAAATCTTAATATCGAAAATTCTATCATATACAATTTATTTTTTTTAGTCTAACATACCACATGAATTTTTATGTAAAATAAACTCGAATCTCTTTTAAAACTCGCTATTTTTATAAGATTATTATAATTCAAATATAGTTTTATAAATTATTTTCTAATCTTTTATATAAAAAGGAAAGTGCTGTTAATTTTTACATCGTATTTTCTTTTAATTTTGTCTTTAGAAATTTTATGGACCTGCAGAGATACTGTTTGCACGGATTTTTTTTATATTTATTTTTGATTTTTATAGCTTAATAATGGCGATTTAAAAAATATTTGGTTTTTAAATATACGGCCCGGCACGGATATTGAAAAACCAAATATTTCCTGCAGGTCTCTACTGATTACATTATTTCTTGGCAGTGGTAATGGGCATTGGACGATACCTTGTTTGTTAGTATTGGGGTATTGGCTAAAAAGGTGATATCAGTGTATCTTTGGTTACTTTAAATTTCGTTTAGCACTATGATTTACACATATATTTTAGGTAAAGAAAAAGAAATATGGGAACAAAGATATCAAAAATAGCAAGTTAAAACGTGCAAAAATTTAAACATAATATATATATATATACTCGTCATCTTATCACCGCACTAGTTAAATAATATCTAATTTAGTAATTTAGTAATGTAGTTTGTATTATATATTTTAACAAATTATCAAATATTGTTTATTATATTATGATGTTTAAATAGTGTAATATAAATTTTGATGTTTAGTCATTATAAAATATCTTATTTATCAATATTATTATAATAAAGTATTATATTATATATGTTATTGTTTGAATAAATTATATTACCTTCAGTGAGAGACGAGTCTATTAAATTTTAATTTTTTTAAAACTACGTGGAATATATAAATTATATGGGATATAAGTATAATTATTTAAGTAAGAATATATTATTTTTTTGAGTAAAGGATCAAAATCTCTCATCCTTAACTGATATCTCTTTAATTTTCGGGTTCACATCTCTTAATAGGTTCGGTTTGGCAGGAGCTAATTAGCCATATTCCCCCCCCCCCAAACCTCCTCATAAAAACAGACCCAAATATTATGGAGGGGGGGGGGCTCAGACGGGACTATAAACTTTGTTTCATTTTCCAAAATTTTAATTTTGGTCAGAGCTTCAATTGGAAATCATGGACGTATATATTAAGCAACGTACCCTAGTATTACATATGGGTTCCTCATTATCGTCCATCTTGAGGGTGAGTATATTACTCCATTTTTTGTCAAAATGGACACACAAAATCATAATTTTTTTTTTTAAAATCATTTTTTTTAAGACATTATTAATTTTTAGTATCCGGGAAATTTTATTCAAAGCGATCTCACAGGCTATCGAATCAAACCGGATCACGAGACCCCGGAATGAACCGATATAGATTTCCAACCCGAAACGAAAATAATCGGAACTAAACCAATTTTTACAACTTTAAATTTAGAAACCAGAATGGAACTCGACGGTTATTCGTAGCCGTTCGACGCCCCACTCTTTTGGCTCACCCTTTGAATATCGCGTTAAAATTCCCCTTTTAATGAAATTAGTATTTTACTTCCGTTTGTTACGTCTTGTAGAAGTCAATGGGAATGGGCTCTTCGTATTCCGCCCTTCATTTCTTTTAAGACTGGAAATTTTTTTGGCGAATAACGCGCAGTCTCAAAAACTTATGCCACTGGGCGTGGCAAGGGTAGGGGGGGGTAATGCATTGTAATTGTAGGGTAGCTTTGATTTCCTTTTATTGCTAATTTAGATTTGGTAGGAGGGTAAGAAAGAAGTAAATCATAATTGGCTTAAAGGGGGGGGGAGTGATTATTTAGTTTGACCTATCTGAGTTTAGCTGGACCGGATACGAAGCAAGTTATTATTTTAAAAAAAAATCTTACAGCGAAAGACATTTGTGTCATCGGAACACGTTCAACGATATCAGCATATTCTTTTTTTTAAAAAGATAAAGACGGAAATGGGACAAAAACAAAAGTTAAATAACTAGAGCAACGCAACTGAACCGATATACTAAATGGTTAGAAAAAAATATTGATTTTAAAAATAGGATGTAGATTATGCGGGATCGTCATAGAAAGTAGAGGGAGGGTCAAAACTTACCCCCACTCTTTTTTGCTAATTTTTAATTTGTTAGGAAGTGGGAAGGTGGGTTGTGCATAATATCGTTATTGGCCAGGGAGTGCAGATGGAACTGTTGTAGAAGATCGTTGGACAAGATCTTTTTAATTTCGAGGCTAAGTCGTTGTAATTCCTAAAAAAAAGAAGATAATTAAAAGTTATTTGCCATCACATTTTTATTGTTAAAAAATGTAAATTTTTAATTCAATATAAAAACTTTAGATATTTGAAAAATAAAAATTAGCATTATTTGTCCACACAAGTTAGCGACAGATAATTCTATAATACGCTAATCCTTTTTGTCTAATTGCACAAGAATGTATGATTCAAAGATAAAATAGAGATTTTTGGGAAAGTTTTTTTTATTTTAAATGCTTTAATTGTTTAAATTATCTATAAATTACCTGAGTTACCGCTTGCGAAATAAATTTAACAAAATTATTAATTAAGTTTAATATATATACATCTGAGCTAATTACATTATATTATTTTTGTTTTTTAAAATTTCTAAAATATACGATGCAAAAGTTATATTTGAAAAAAAAAATGTTCAGAATTTATGATAATAATCGTCTACACAGTAATATGGTTTCCTCTTCGTCATAGTGCCGAACAGTGAGGATTCATCTTTAATATAATGCGATAAGAAAAGATTGTCTATGTTGGCGCTTTGATTATCGAAAACCTTACGCGTTTCCCGAACAAAGTCGACATCGTCTTTGAACTGGCGAGTAACGGTGTTTCTCGCGATATCACGTGACGCCGTTTTACAGGGAGTTTCGTTCAATGATTCTAGGCGATATTTTGGCTTGATAAGTATGTAATTCTTTTTACGGGGCATCGAGTTATAAAACGAACCCTTTCTGCTAACGGAATCATCGCTACAAGACGTTGGTATTTTAGTTACATCATCACCCTGGTCGTTTTTGCCTAGGTAGCCATCAGATGGAGGCTTGATATGCTTTTCATGGTTATTATATGGCGAATTATTACGAATATCGGTGGTATGGTCTACTTTAGCTCTTTCAGGGTTCGATGGCGGACCCTCCTTATCTCCGTGATTGTTGCTGTTATTGTTAAACCAAGAACCCATAAACGACACGAAGTTTCTTTTAAGCAAACGTTTGATAGGGGATACAACGTTGGGGGTGACATTTTGTCCCATCAGCCCAGGGCCTACAAAGTCGTTACTAGGATTGTTGTTATAGAAATCCGATTTGGTCGTTGGTAAAGATATGGAGGAGCGTTTCTTTTTCTTTGTCGATGACCCATTCGCGCTCAAGGGGGAGTCCTTGTAGCGGGAGGCAAATGTTTCGAAGTCGGGAATTTTATTTTTATCGCAATCGGTATTTTCCTTTGTGTCAAAGACATCGTCATCGCCATAGTCGCATGCTTCGAAAGATCGATAAGTGAACTTTTCCTCCTTGGAACCTAGGCGTTTTCGACTCTTGTCGCTTTTAACTTTGGGCGATTTTTTATTAGTTTTAGAGATAACTGGACGATTTAATTCCCCTTCGCACTTTTGAGTGAGTAATTTGTGCTTCTTTTCTAACTTCCTTAAATATTCGTCCTCATCGCATTGGGGATCAAATGGCCCGCGTGGTGGGATATTTTTGTGCGGAAAATTTAAAGGAAGAAAGGGTCTCAGAGGTAAATTTTGCCACATCTTAGAGCAATCGCAATTGACGTCATTGTAATCGCATATTTTAAGCTTATTTTCTCCAGTCTTGGAATGAGAATATGGAATCTTGGCACATTTGATATTTTCGACCTTATTATTTATGGGGTCTATCTTGATTTTACAATGACCGATGTTTTTGCTCATATTTTCTAGGGACTGTATATTTTCTTCTAGTTCTTTCGTGGTTTCCGCTAAACTCATCAATATATCGTCAGTTGTGGTATCGAGTGACCTGTACGAGATGTTGTTTGTTAAGCTTTTGCACGTAATTGAGCCCATTTTAACGTATATATCAGAGTCATTCGAATTGAGGGAGCTTCCATTAGAATCTGATAACGCATTGATCCTAATTTCATCATTACTGATGCGCGCGCAGGCCGTCTTATTTTGAACAACATTCTTTGGATCCACTTCCAACTTAACAGGGATACTTTGATCGCGAACTTTTCCAGATTTTCCAATACCTTTTTCGGATAGGATCCTAGAATTTCGCGATGGTTTATCATCAAATTGCGCGGCTAAATCGGGTGTATTATTTACAGATTCTTTATTCGCTGTTTGTTGACAAGAGTGATCAAAATGAATGATTTGGTGGTTGGCGATAGAATTTATTTCCGCGGATTTATAACTATCATGTTCGTATTCGCGCTTACTTAAATGGTTACCAACCGTCAAATGTGAATTACTCGACTCCAAATTAACCGAATTCGAGGAATATGGTTCGATGTTATGGTGAGAGAATTTTAACCAATAATCAGTTTTCTCCTTCCAGATAGCTTCTCGACGGAGCAATATATTTTCGTTATTGTTTAAACCTCTAACCCGTTTGTCGATGCAGTTAAGGCAAAAGCCGTCGTTTAACTGTTTTCCTTCCTCCTGAAGTTTGTAAAATTTGGTATTCAACAAATCGCGTATCTCTGTGCGATCTATGTTCGGAGTTTGGTGGTTCGTATTTTCGATTGAATCCGCAATGCCATTCGTCACGTGATTAGAATCATCGTTGATCCTGGGATATTCGTCGAGGCGGCGACTATTCGCTATAGTAGAATTATCGAAATACCCGGCTTGGACAATCGCCTCCGAGCTTTTGTGACGGCGATCTAAAGTAAGATTGTCTCCTATACAGTTCGAAGCGTCTGCGCATCCACCATTTTTAGCCTTTATGTTGATATTCATTTATTTTTATAATTTTTATAAAAATATTTTTTTAAGAAAAGAGGGGACCTGAATGATGGGTTGGCAATAGTTATGCTATTCACTAAATTGATATGAATCAAATAATGCATTATTCGTATTCGATTAGTTGAAGCGGATCGAATAATTCGCTATCCGCTATTCGTAATTATGTAAATTGAATAAGAAATTTAAAGTTGCTAAAGGGGTTCGATTTGAGCCGATTTTTTGAAAACGGTTAGCTCTGTATCTGATTCAGAAAAATATATTACGCAAGTCATATGATTTTGATCATAGATAGCACAAAGGTTTAGACATCTATTAGCCAAATAAGTCTTTTTTTTAAAAAAAAATCTGCTCAAATCGAGCCGTTTAACAACACTGGCACAATGGGGTAAAATGGACCTAGTATGATTAGGTCACCTATCATGAACCGCAACTCCGAAGCGGGCTTAGCCCAAGTTTTTATATTCAAAAATATTCATCTCCATCTTTAAGTAGGGGGCTCAAATTAGAAGCTTTAGGTTATTTTTATAGGGAAAAGGTTGGCTGAGTTGATCATAGGTTACTTGATTTAGGAAACCTAAGTGGGCGGGTAGCTATTGAGGAACTATTTTTTTTTTAAAATATAATATTGATCCTAACCCCATACATCCTTAAACCCTAAGTTTGTCCAAGAGCGTTGTTTCAGATAAACATTGTTTCTAATGAGGAGTGGACGGTATATTATCATACTTTGTTATCGGATGAGGATGAAAGATTATCGCATTCCAGGTACGGATTTATGCCGCCACCGTTTGAATGGTAGCCGGACTCGATATCGATTAATAGATTAGCCGTCCCGTTATCCTTATGTTTGACCATCTCCCGAGTATCTTCCTTGTGGTCAAAAATGTCGTTAAGTTTGAAGGGTTCCAAATTGATATGGGTACTAGTAGTGGAAATGGAGTTAAACCTATTATCGTCGAGAGTTAGGGGAGATTTTTCTAACATGTTGGCGCCATTTTTATGGTAATATTCATTACACAGATGGGTGAATGTGCGACTGCTTGGAATTCTTCGGCATTCACTGCTATTGTCTATTTATTTTATTATTTTGAATCAAAAGTCATACGATATGATATGAGAAGATATAAGAAGGAAGGAAGGAAGGAAGGAAGGAAGGAAGGAAGGAAGGAAGGAAGGAAGGAAGGAAGGAAGGAAGGAAGGAAGGAAGGAAGGAAGGAAGGAAGGAAGGAAGGAAGGGGAAGAAAGAAAAAAGAAAGGAAGGGAGAAAGGAAGGAAAAATACCGTCAATTATCTTGCGGAAGTAATGGAAATTTGATATATCTTTCGATTTCCTCAGCAGATTTATTATCTTAGAGGCGTCATCATTGCGCAGTACGAAAACGTCTTTAATATATATATATATTTTTTAAATTAAGGTAATGTTACAATGCAAACAATGATTTTAAATACCAGGCTGAGGATTCATTCATTAAAAAAAAATGTATACATTCATTTAAGTCCGCCATTGAAAAGCAAGCATCTAGACTCGAAATGTGAAAAGAATATAAACGAAATACCTTTCATAATGGCGTCTACTACGACAATTATATATTCAAAAAAAAAATTCAGCTGGCTTTCAATGGAGCGTACACTTTTAATAAAATCAATCGCCAGTCTAGTTTAGTTATTTATAATATCATTGGCCAATAAATAAGCCAATAAATTATGTTAATATAATTTTTTTCATAATAAAACAGTCAACCTTTAATTGCCGGAGTCGGTAAAACGCAGCCCGCATTACCGCAATGAGATCCTGTAGTGAGCGGATAGCGACTCGGATCGTAACTACCGAAATATCGATCTTGTCGAATCATTTCATCGTCGTCATCAACTCCATCCTCCTTATTAATCTCGATCGCGAAAACGGTGTCGGATATCAAAGAAGATTTGGATATTTGGTCTAGGAAACATTTGTAAAAAAAAAAGGGGTTTAGCGGACCGTCGTTACCCGCATTATTATCCATTCCATAGTATGGGTCCTTTCGATAACTCATCTTCAATTTGTTTTTGGCTGGGATCAGGGCTAAATTTGCTGAGCGATTCTTGGTTAGACATTCCTTGCCCGTCGTTGAGATCAGGATATTTACTGGGAAACTAAATTTAGCACATTTTTCTGGTTTTTTTTAAAAAATACAAGAAATATTAATTATCATATATCCAACGACTTATAATAATACCTAGACTGACTATGCATTCATTAAAAGTGTGCATCAAAGAAAACAGTTGGGGACGCCATTTTGATTACCCATATCATTATTAAAAAAATATTTTAAACGAGAGGCTAATTTATCCCTATGCGTGACGCAAACTTTATTAAAAGAATTGCCTGATCATCGAGATGATAGGGAAGCAAAGTAGTTTTCTAAGATGAGAATAATTACTATACGAGTTACCAAAATGGCGGGCCCAGCTGATTTGCATTCAACGACGCTTTCAAAGGCTGCATTATGAATGCGTGGTCAGGTCTAGGTATTATGTGCATCTATACCGATTCAATGATGATTCGTGTATAAGATGGTATGGTTCGGGTGATCGGGTTTCATCTCAACCCGCATAAAATTAATTAAGAAATAATAGATTTATTTATACCGTTAAGTAGATGCCGCTCTTCGTCAACGCCTTCTTCAAATGTGTCCTTCATTTTTTGGGTATATCTAAGTGAGAAATCCTTTTCTTCAAAACTATTCGACAGTTTGGGAGGATATATATGTGTATGCCACCTTTTCCGTTATCAATTTATTGAATGAATTTTAATATTTTTCGCAACATGAATGGAATCCAAAATAATTTTTAAATGAACATTAAATTCGTAAGGTTAACAAATTCACGCTTTTATAAAAATATCTTCTTTTCATTTCATTTTTTTTTGTAGATGGTTTTTATATAAAAAGAAATTTTTTTTTGCCATATTTTTTTAAAATATAATTTTTAAAGATTATTCTTTATTTTTTTTAAAAAAATATTAAAAACCTAAAATTATAAAAATTTTACTTTGAAATTAAAATATTAATTTATTTAATTATCTATATTTTGCGAATGCACTTACCAGATCGAGATCGAGGATAAAACTCGCCCCGCCCATATTATACCTTTTATAGCGCGTACAAAATTGAACGTTTCAACTCCTCTTTTCATTTAAATTAGATAGCATTACGTTTAATATTTAAAAAAAAAATTAACGCTTCTATTTAAAATATAGCCGCGTTTGCGTTTTTTTTAATATTTGCGTTTTGAAACTTTGCGTTGAAGCGTCCAATTTGCACTATAAAGGTATAATCGTAATTCGTAAAAATAACCGATTTTTTTATTGATTCCTAATTTATATAAATTTGTTTGAAAAAATAAGAATAATTTTTTGTCCATTTTCAACACATAATATAATTTACCCCCCACATATGGCGTTTAAAAAATTTGAATTTTTTTTTTAATATAAATGGTTTGAACCTAATTATATTTGTTTTTTTCGAATTCCGAAATTATATAATTTTTCGATGAATTGGGTTCTATAAGCATTACAAGAAGAAAAAAAAGTGTCAAAATGACAGAAAATGTCGGGTTAGTTGCTTGCCAATCAGAGGGAGAAATCCCGAATACCTTCTCATGTCAGGTCTTCGGGCCCATTTTTATTCCCTAAAAATATTTTTAACCAGCCAGTATTTACCCCGTCAAATATTTAAAATTTTTTCCACTCTCCCACCTACTCTCATCCGTCAGTATGGGCTAGCGTAGGCGGGTGGGCCTCTAATTTATTAAACCAAAATTGAAATTAATATCTTAATTAAGGCTTCATTGTATTTGATTTCATTTGGCAGGTCAAATAACGACATATTGACCGAATAGTATTTGAAGGGTCGAATACCAAATAATTTTAATTAATTTCGGGATTTTCATTTCACTCTTGTTTTCTTTTTTTCCATCTAACAAACAACAATTTTAATAATTTTAAAAAAAAATTAACGGAAAGGAGGCGGGGGGGGGGGGGGGTTAGAGGTCTACAAAACAGTTTTAAATTTAATTAGTGGCATCCCATCAATCATAATTTGATTGCATGTTCTTCTACAATTTCGTTTATTCTAGATTTAATACTTAAGTAAGAGCATACTTGGGAATATAAATGAGTATTTTTCCTTTCTTTCTATATTCTAATTTTCTGGTCGTTTTGGGTCAGGAAATTATTCGAGATTAATCTTACATTAGGGCTCGGTCAAGGAATTTGCTCTTAAAAAATTTATTTGGGTTGGTCATTCATTGCGTTGGGTATGATGGATTAAAAATAAAAAATTGAAACACTTAAAGTATGTTTAATTAAATAAATTATTTTTATTTTTATATTTAATTTAAAAATAAAAAATATAATGATTTTGATAGTTAAAATCGATTGATTGCAACTTATATTGTCATAAAAAAAATAAAAATTAAAGCTTGTGACGTGAGAAAATTATAATTATAAAATACTTAAAGTGGTATAGTATTATTTTTACATTAATAATTGTAATTGTAATTGTAAGTAATTATGTTGTACCCGGGATAGGAAATCCACGGGGTATTCAGAATTTTCTACAATTTTAAATCATTTACTGTGAGTATAATTGTTATATATATAAAAATTCTGATTTGGCCCGTAAAGGTATTCTAGCAGCGTGTGTATAGTTTCTTCTTTCTTTCTTTCTTTCTTTCTTTCTTTCTTTCTTTCTTTCTTTCTTTCTTTCTTTCTTTCTTTCTTTCTTTCTTTCTTTCTTTCTTTCTTTCTTTCTTTCTTTCTTTCTTTCTTTCTTTCTTTCTTTCTTTCTTTCTTTCTTTCTTTCTTTCTTTCTTTCTTTCTTTCTTTCTTTCTTTCTTTCTTTCTTTCTTTCTTTCTTTCTTTCTTTCTTTCTTTCTTTCTTTCTTTCCTTTCTTTCCTTTCCTTCCTTTCCTTTCTTTCATTCACAGCGTGAAACTACCCTTAATATTATATTAATCTTTTTTTTTTCGTATAAAGGTTTATAAGAAAAAGATGCACAAAAGGTTAATGGCGAAAAATTTCTGAAATTTATAGGGTTAGATTTACTCTAAGAATATCCTGGAACATTTCCAAAATCAGATGTTTTTTTTTAAAAAAAAATAATTTTCCTTCATTTGAAAAGATTCCGAATCTCTAACGAATTTTGTATCCCAATACGTAGTGTTGAAGCCGATTTTTAAAACGGCTAATTCAGTACTTTATCCAGAATAATATTATCAGAGTTGTTAAAGTATCTAGATCCTGTATCTAGATATAAAAATGTGGTATCTGTATCTAGATAGATTTTTGATTAAAATATCGGTATCTAGATATTATCTTAGACGATGTATCTGTATCTAGATCCATTTAAAATGTATCTTTTAACAACTCTGAATATTATGCAAGTCTAAAGATTTTTCTGAATATCTCTTGAGCAAAATTCTCGATGCTTAGGACAATATGTTCCATGGCTATAATGTTTAGTTAGCCCTTTTTTAAAAATTGGAAAAAATCGAGCCCTTTAACAAAATTACCAATACGAACATACATATAAATATGATTGGATTTGGGAAATAAATGTACCTTTTTCGAAATTGATTAACAGCGCATTAAAATAATCGATCAATCAATCAATCAATAAATAAAATGATTACGGGAACTTTTTAAAATAATAAGCAACTATAATAAAAGTAAAGGCCCTTTGTTTATTTTAAGGAAGAAAAAATGAGTAAGTAAAAGTTAACATCTACTCTCGACATAACATAACATAACCCCTCTCTTGTATTTTAAATATGAATTGTTTGACTTTTGATAATTTTATGGAGAAAAATATTTATCCTAGATCCGCAGCGTAGGTCGATTAGACCTTGCAGCGGTAATCAAGTCCGGCCCAGATTTTATTTTCCCAAAATCTTCGGTGTTTGATCATTTATCGACCCCGGATCGAAATAATCTTGGCGGTATTTTTTGCCTCACAAAGCAATATTAAATTAACATTTTTTTAGCCAAAATAATATTAAGCGTGTCCAGAGATTTTTGATAATAAATACCCCAAAACTTTTCTGCAATCTATGAGGGAAATTTCCAGGCTTCGCAATTTTTTTTGGGCGCCAAAATGTTTGATTAATCCCATTTCCAAAAAAAAAATCGAGCAGTTTAAACAACAATAATGCAGGTCACGTGATAGTTTGAATGACCAATTAGAGAACTCAAATAGATCTTAGGCCTTGATATGGGGGGTTTTTTCTTTTTACATTATTAAATCTGAAACCGTCCCCGATCTAAAATACTTCATAACGTTTTTCTTTACTCTTCTCCTCCTACGAAAAAAAATTGAAATGCGAATTCATATTAAAAAGTACCTTAAAAACAGGGTAATGATGATCAGAGCCAAAGGCCAGCAAATCTTGGCCAGAAATTTTTTAAGCCTGAGCCAATCTATCCCAATTTTTAACTATTTTTTTTAAAAAACTTTCTAATCAGAGTTGTTAAAAGATACCTTTTAAATGGATCTAGATATAGATACATCGTCTAAAATAATATCTAGATACAGATATTTTAATCAAAAATCTATCTAGATACAGATACAGATACTACATTTTTATATCTAGATCCTTTAACAACTCTGTTTCTTAATACCCTCCTCTATAAAAGGTCAAATAATTAAAAAAAAATTTGTTAGAATATACTCAAAATTAAAATAATGGCCCAAAATAATCAGAATTTTTACCTTCTTATTAATTATTATATTTCACGGAATACTTGATTAGAATTTATATCTTTTATAACTTTTTCGATGTCATAATTAAATATTTTTGAAATTTTTTGAAAAATTATTTTAAAATATAAACTTTTAAAAAATTAAAGAAAATAAGATATACATCATGTCTCATTCAAGATATAAAAACTAAGATTAAAAGTGGGTAAAAATTAAAGGTAAAATTTTTGAAACAAAAAATATATTAAAATAAAGTGAAGAAAAAAAATAAAAGAAAAGAAATTTAAATGGTCTTTTGTTATATGCAAGTATTAGTACAGTATATTTTATTTATAGTTTATTATACCATTGTTTATTTTTTTAATATTATATTATATTTTATTTTATTTTATTTTATATTATTAATATTTTATAATTTATTAATATATAAAGCCATAAAAACCTATTACTTTACCATACATACTAAATAAAATGAAAATAAACACATAATAAAATAGTCTATTTAAAAAGTTTACTAGAGGATGTGAAAAGATGTGTAAACTGGACCATTTAAAAATAAAAAATTACTTTAAATCTAAAATAGACATTTCTTTCTTTCTTTCTTTCTTTCTTTCTTTCTTTCTTTCTTTCTTTCTTTCTTTCTTTCTTTCTTTCTTTCTTTCTTTCTTTCTTTCTTTCTTTCTTTCTTTCTTTCTTTCTTTCTTTCTTTCTTTCTTTCTTTCTTTCTTTCTTTCTTTCTTTCTTTCTTTCTTTCTTTCTTTCTTTCTTTCTTTCTTTCTTTCTTTCTTTCTTTCTTTCTTTCTTTCTTTCTTTCTTTCTTTCTTATCTTTTACTTCTTTTTTAATAAAATATTTAAAATTACCGAAAAATTAGCATAATTAATCCTTTTTATTTAATCTCTTCTTACAATAATTCTAATATGTAAAACTTAAAAGAAGGTTGAAAAATTAAAAGCTAATTCTCTTTATTCTATA